TGCGCATTAACGATTGGTATGCAGTAAGCAACGTTGCAATGGTGCAACACGGATAATTAATTGTCACCGAACTGGTGGACGCTTTGTAGTTACGGTGGCGGCTAATTTAACTAATATAAAATTTCGAACATTACTGAATCTAATTCCACTGTAACCAGAGACATTCACAAAGAGCACGTACCATATTCAATTAACAACTTTTGCCATGCGACTCAAGTTTACCAATCGCGATCAAAAATTTCGATTTTAACGTAATAGTTTTGTTGCGCAAACGTATCGAAAAATAATTGTGATACCAATATAGTAGATAATATTTTATAATACAAATAATAATATTTTATTTAGGAAATATTTATATAGGTTATACATGAAATATTTATATACGTTATACATGAACATATAATATATTTTCCACAAAAAAATATATTTTTTTGGTTAAACACTTATACACGTACACTTATACACTTACTTAATTACTTAATTAAGTAATTACTATCTTGACCGTCGGGGCAAAATGTGGTCGGGAATAAAAAACGCCGGCAATTAAAGCAATCCAAAATTTTAATAAGCAAAGTAATTTGCATCTGTGCATATTAAAATAAACATTTCCGTCCACCTTGCAAAATTCTGCTGCTAAAACTGAAAGGGCGGGAACGACGATACGATAAAGAATCACTGCGATGCTACGTATATTCATAAAAAATTTCACGAGCCCTCGTGAAAATTTCCTCATTAAAGCCCTATCTTAAGGACGACGTCGTGAAGATTCCCTAATTTGCCTGCAAGTGCGAACGCGACGGATACATTTGAGGCGGCGGCGCGGCGTTATCACCATGCGGCTCGTAACTGCAGCAGCGTACTTTTTTACGCTCCGGATCGCGGGTGGATCGAGGAAATGAAACCGCCCCTCGTCCACCGTGAAAATGATGAAAAACGGGGCCGAAATTGGCTTCCCGAAGTCTTCGGCGTCTTCCTCTTTTCTCGTCTTCAACCGTGACCGGTCGTATCTCTTGGGTTCCGCGGCCAAGTCCGTCTGTGTGCGTTTCTCAGCACTCCGAAAGTGTATATCGTGCGCGCGCGCGTGTGTGTTTCGTGTGTTGTGTGAGTGGGGGATTTTTTGTTCCTCCGGGGGATTATCTGATATCAAAGGGGACGTGTACCTCGGGGACGTAGCCCACATACGGCGCCGGTCGTCGAACAAATAATAATAAACTCCGGAAGAGGCTTTGCTGGAGGATACACGGACGTCGTCCTGTCGTCGACAGCGTCGGTTCTTCCACTTTCTTCGAGGCTGCTCTTTCTCTTCTTTCCGTTTACGGCTCTTCTTCCCACCCATTCGCCATATTCCGTCCACGACTGATTCTGTCCCGTGATAGGATGGACCTGCATACGACATCATAAGATGCTATCGTGTAGATTAATCGAAGACAATCGTGATAACGGTATAGCTGCATGATTCTCAATTCTATCTTCGAGCGATCTCTTCTATTGAAAGTCACTTTCACAATATGTTTTTATAATATGTGTATTTATAGAAAAAATTATGTGCCTCACATTTTATGTCAGAAATCAGAGAATTTTTTGAAGTCCTATTTTTTCTTTCTATTTTTGCAATATCAGAGACGTCAAAAATATTTTATTATTTCTTAGACGTTATTATTCGCATATGTTTTGCATGTTTACAATATCTTAAATACAGGAACGCGCGAGACAGTAAAATTCACATCGAATGATAGAAATACATGCCCTACATGTTGGTCAGACATCGCTTCTGCGACCAGGATTTTTTTTTTAGAAATTCGCCGCGCGAATCATGAATATAAATTCGGCCGCGTCGGTCGTAAACCTCGATCTCGAAATTCGATAGTGTTCGATCGATCACCGCGGGCCGATTTGCTTCGCGTGTAAAACCCGAGGCCGCTTATCGGATCAACGGGCGCGTCAATTGTCGAGCTTTCCGATCTCGCGCTTCGGACGCTCGTCTTCTGGGATCCACGGCGCGTTCACGGTGGTGGCGGAGTAAACTACGCCATTTCGCGGACCTCGGTAACCGCAGCTAGCCGAGGGAATTGGCCCAAAAGTCTGTATCTCGTCGAAAGTTCGACAGCTAGTTGGAGGAAGTCAATCCGCCGCTCTAACGAGACCATCAAAGTCATCGAACCGCTCACGGCTTTCTCCCTGGCCTGCAGTTCAGATTAGAGGAAGAGTTGCGGTAAGAGGGTCCAAGCTGCCCGTGGATATAACATCCCCGTACACTACAAACACGCCTATACATATACATATACGTACGTATTGCACCGAGAGAAAATATAGTTGGAATAACCATAATTTATAATTGAATTTCGGGGACAACTATAAAATTATAATTAATTTAACCAAATAAATATATTATAGCTGCTTTAACAATGCATTATGATTGGATATTATAATTTTTTTGTTTACTTATTTTTTAGTTATTATTACAATATAAATAGTAAACAAATGTTAAGAAAATAGTTATACTTACTATAATTGCAGTTGCATTTACTACATAAAAATATTTATTTGTCTCATATCTTGATATTTTATTATATTTAATATTTGAAATTATTATAATTTATAGTAAAATTTTGTCATATTTTATAGGACTATACATATAAGGTTATTATTATTAACATAATAATAATAATAACTATAAAAATAGAGCTCCTAACCATAATTTTTACCATACAATTATAGTCACAAATACAAAATATTTTTCTCTCAGCGTGTATGAGCACTTAATCTTTTGTCGATTTATCTGCCGTTCATAAATTATACCCATTCTCGTGAGGCATCGTGTTTCCAAACTAAAACCTAAGCACTAAAAAATGAAAATATCCAATAAATAAAGAATCATTTAATAATTATTTTTATTAATAATTAGGCTGCAGAAAATTATAATTACGCGATAGAAATTATTATTTTACTTTACTAAAAATGCGTGTAAGGATAAATTGTTCTTGGACGGAATGTAAAGATTTAGTCAGGATCCGTAAAGAGGTGTGTAACAAGAAATTTTCACCTCTCTTTTAAAATAAAACGAATAATGTTATGATATAGAGCTTTTAGTAACTAAAATCGCAATCTCCTCTGCGTATACCTACCTGCATAATCTGTCATCCGTGCAGATCCTCGTTTTCTCTATAATCCTGCCGCACGTTCGTTCTACCTTTCGCGTGGATAGTTCCCCGTATATAATGATCAATAGTATAGGTTGGCTCTAACTTGGGGATTATTGTAGAAATCGTAGTTCTAGCGGTATTAGATCCCGCGCTTTGCTGCAGCCCTTACGTAATGGCGATTTAATTAGGATCTACGCAAAGTTCGGGAGAGAATTTTTCGTTTTTTACATGAACTCCTTCCCTAGCAGCTCAGAATCGGAAAAAGAATTGGACAATCTCACTCACTTTTTCTCTCCGCGAATAGAGTTGCGTAATCGCTCGTGCTAAAAAAATCTGCGATAAAACGGAAAATCTTTTCTTTATCATTCCGCTATGCAAGACACTTTGTCTTTGATACGCGAGACTAAAGGAGCTTGATTACACGTTTCCGGAAGAGAAGTTTCCGTATTCCGTATTTTTAAGTTTTGCTATTTGCAAAAGGCAACAATTTAGATTCCCTAAGTGTTGCATGTACTTTATGGGCGCCACTTTCGCTTTGCACTGAATCCCTCAGATATGCAGTCAGAATTGTTAAAACTTCTCAGCCGTCGAGTTTTATTTTATTAGGAGCGGCGTCCCGCGATGCTTTCGCGCTCCCGCTCCCGGCGCGAGCTGCAGTTTCCTTTCGTATCTTTTATGTGCGAATGTTTCGCAACATGCACGTGCGTCTCCGTGAAAAAATAATACGGGATCTTGCGGAGTGTCTATGCAGCTGCGAACAGTAGCGCGTGTAGGACATAACGGTAATGGCTTTGGAGTGTCGCGGTTCCGAGACACGGTTGCAACACACGCGGCCCGTAACGCAGACACCAGTGAGACATCGTTATGGCACTCGCATACATATACAGATACGTATGCAATCCTCGAGAGTGAGAGCAAATTCAGCAACGTGCACGCCGGATCGAAGTGAAATCCTCTAAAACGACCGAAGTACTCGTCCGGGTTCAAATGATGTAATTACATTCTGAACGAGCCGAAATTTGTCCGTTTCCGACACAAAGAGCCGCGGAAAGCTTCAATTTTGGAGATATATATTACATACGCAAATATTTCTATTACGAAAAGCGAATGTTTTCGCGCGATATTTCCGCACATTATTTGATATTAATTAAAAAGAGATACACGTGAAATGTATATCGAATATTCTTTGTGCTCGGTATCAATATGTAAAATCAAGATTAGCCGTGCGAATTTTATGGAATAATGGAATGATAATTTAATTGTAATAATATTTTAATTATGATAATATTTTGAAGCTATTAAATTTGAATTAATAAAACTTATATATAAAAATATTATAAAATTTTAAGCTACAATATAAAAATATTATTGCTTATATAAAAATTAATAATGCGTACCTACATCCATTACACGCGAGCTGTCTAGCTGAGCAAAGTTCGGATACCTGTTCGTTGTGAAAAACCAAACAATCCAAATATTTTGCATTTCTGCCCGGCTGCGCAGATTTTCATGTAGTATTATGTTTCAACAGCATTCCCTTGCTCTCCTCGTGTCTAGAAAGGAAGGAGCCGAGCGCATCGCGGCACAGCCCGATAGAACGGATTTCGATAGCGTATTTTTTTGTAATGCCGCCCAGTAGCAAACGCATCTGTCATCAACAACACACAGGATGGTATCATTCGGTTTTCGTGCGTTTCTCTCCAATAGATGCATTTATTTCCGCTTTCTATCGGAAACTAAATATAACAGATGCGGATTCCGTTCTTCCTCCGGAACTCGGATAAAAGCGTTGGTATAATTCCGCAGTAAAATCAAGCTACTGATAAACAAAACGTTCCAGATTAAAGAATGCAGTAAAACCAGAATAAAGAGATTTTATTTTTAGGAAAGAGGTAAAGACAGGAAAGAGAATGGGCGGGGCTCTCATGGAAAAACAAACTCTTAAATTTATAATATTAGACGTGGATATTAAAAGTATGCATCATATTGTGCAAACTGTTATCCCATCGTTTCGAGCTTTGTTCCAGACTTGTTTCAGTCGCAATGTTAGTTACGAAAAGAAATCTGATTAATACTTTTATACAATTTCTCTTATGTAGGATGATTGATTACCAAAATACTCATAATTCGAGATTGTCTAATTATCTCTGTCTTTTCTTCTCGTCGATCTATACTTCTCATTAATTTTCGATATGAAAAAGCGGCCCCATTGTGTGCCCGACAATGAAGCGTTTTGCAAGCGCTCCTCGTTAGACTATCGGCGTTTCCGGCACGCGCGATGAGATAACAGGCAATTTCGCTCAAGGAACAATCAATGCAACGGCGAGAGATATCGGCCTGTGATCCTCCACCGTTATTATACCGCGCGACGCGCCAGTTCGCCGGGGCTGAAGTTCGTCAAACCGTACTCCGGCAAGTACTGCAGCGAAATCCTCTAAGATATTTCGAAGGGAGTGCGACTTCCTGTCGCGCCTGATCCTCATTCTACGAGCGAATTTTTCGCGCGAGAGCTCTCGGGTTGCGGGAATCACCGTCGCATATCTCCGCGACAGGATGTTCGTTAGAGGGATTTCTCTCTCCTACCATCTGGCTACTCGATTTTAGAATATTCTTCTTGGCGCAATTTTTTTCCAGGTTCTCTTCACGGAGCACGATTCAATAAGTTCGACGTAAATAAAAATTATCAGTAAATCTGTACATATTATATCATGAAAAAAATTATTGTAAAAATAATCTAAAAATGCTGTGAAACTAATGCAAAATATATCGTAATCGTTTTTAACCTATGAAAAAAAGTTTATACAAAATGTGTCATTTGACGTCCAAGGATCGTAAAAATAAATTAATTGGATTATTACTTGCGAAAAGTTGAATTTGCGGACGAGCAAAATTTTATTATATTTTTTTTAAACATTATCCACGGATATAGTGTTACGATGGTCTCTCACACGATTCTCTTATCGCAGCTGACTGTTCGAGAATGTCTCGGATATTGTCTCATTATCGGCCTTGATTAATGGTCTCTCGCGCCGCGCATACTTCCCCCGTGGCGATTATAAGACAGTTTTAAGGACTTCGCTCGGAGGGTTCAAATACGGAGACGAAGATTTAATCTGTCGAACTGAACTTGTCAAAGGACAAGCTCTGGCGGGACCAGGGAGATAGGATTGGATCGATAAACTCGAAGGGGGAATGATAACACGGACTGCCGTCTCTCATTAAGCGATCCTCGCCGGTGATAATGAAGTAGACACGGCGGACGACGAGCGAAGAGTTCATAAAGAATGACCTATCCATCGGCGACGCCCTTTAATAATGATACTTTAATTAATCACTTTAATTTTCCTAATTATTAGTAACGACGGTGAACGACGCAACTGTCGTCCGGATCTTAAAACTTGGTCTCGGTACTCCGTTTCGTTGTAGCCTTGTCGGGTCCGCTCCCGCCGATGCGATTCAAACACAATAAAAAAGATAAAAATAATTATAAAGAAACGTATCGAAACAAACGCCGTCGCGTTTATAGCATCGAGTCTCTGCAAATATTTTATATAAAATATGAAAGTAATTTATCGAAATATTTTTCATGGAATTTTCACACGAAATTTGATTTATTACGAGGCCTTTGCAAATTAGATAATATGTTTTATATCGTAACCAATATTCGATTTCGATCGAACTTCAGACAATCATTCTATTCGACACGTTCTACGGAATCAGGAATCGCTCCGCGCGAGATTCCTCTCTTGCAGCGAGAGCATTAATGCAGATTAGATGCGTGAACTCTTCCGAAATTCCGCCGCGCACTCGACGCGGTCCGAATGAAAAATCCACCCGAGAGACAGTCACAATCTTTTCCGTCATCAGGATCTTCCTTCAGCGCGCGTTGAATCGAGATCCGGTTTCAAATTCGCTCAGACGTCTCAAGCTGCGACCGGTCGATGGATTTATTTGAGAGGATCGGCGCTTCCTGCCGCCTCATCAGCGGTTCCGCGCGCCTGGAATCTTGCGATCCCTCTTGCTCCGAGATCTCCCCATTCACCGATCGCACACGCAGCTGTCGTGACTGTGCGAAGTTACAGCGTCATTCTTATTTGCCCGGAATCGCGACGGACAGCCGCGAAGTTCGAACACGGTCGGCGAGCTCGACGTGGCGGAGTGTTGCATCCCGGAAGTTAGATACGCGAAAGACGACTGATGCTGGGACCAGCTGGGGACATTTCCGGCCCAAACGGGATGTACTTTGCTGCCAGCCGGTCAGTTTCCACCCGAGGTGGCTCCGATGATGATGGTCGACTTGGACAGGAAATTAGGACGGCGAAGCGAGTCGCAAAATCAGCGATTAAGGATATTTTACTATACTAGGAACAATTAGGTCAAACTTTACGAGTGACTGATGTAACATTCGTGCGTTTAACTTCGTAATGCTCGCTTCGAAAGAAGATCGCAATTGAACATTTTTGAAAAATCGCATATAAAAATATAAAACTCTGCTCCATCCAAAAATTCCAGTCTGGAAACTATGCTTGAGAAGCTCCATGGAGAAACAATAGGCGTTAACTAGATTTACGTAAAAAGTATCAATATTTAATATCGACGGTAAAATATCAAACAAAATCTGAAGCGTTTAATATCCTTCCGTTTCCATTAAGTGTGCAGAATCCTATTAGTATAACGGCATTTCTTTGTAATCACCAGAACGAGAGCTTTACTTTAACGAAGTTTGATCGAAAATCAATACCCGGCGTAACGAAATTCCTATAATAAAATCAAGTTAGAGATATCCGACGAGATTTGTCATAATAAAATCTTAACGCAAATTGGAATTGGCACAAATAATCCGTATACAGTTAAACATACAGCAAGAAAAAATTGTTTTTAAATTGATCTAACTTACACTTTGTAACTCAGGTCATTTTGTATTGAAAAATTATAGAAAAGAATGCCATCTGTGCTCGCGGTATTTAAATTCGACATCATATATATAATTACAAGTTAATTAGGAAATATAAATACAAATATACTCATGCTGCGTAGAAATCATATTTAATCTTAAATGTAGTTGGAAGATTTTTACCTAAAACATGCAACATTGAATATTTATTTTTAAAATGCGGAGAATGTTTACGCAAAGCCGTAGTTGTGTAAATAAGACGGCATGCTAGAGCTGCAGATTTTTAACCCCGGCAGGAAATTAAGGTTTCCCCGCTTAGCAAAAGACATCCGTGATTAATGGAATCACAAGCCTCGCCGGAAGGACCGCGCGCTTTCAACGAGCTTTCGCAGCATTGCATGTAGCCTATGATATATTTACATATGTACACACGACCGGTACATGAGGTGGGCTAAAAAAGCTGAATCGAGACGCGTGGTCTCGAAGGTACGGACCCAAAAAGAACCCGGGGCGATGCCTAACGAGCTTCCTGCAGTCTCGGGACGTCGATTCTATGAACGGCATTCAGACTGCGTCTCGACGAGGAACGAAGAGCCCGGGGACCGACGTTGACAATCGGCAGCCGTGGCCATTGTCTCACGATGCGTTTCCGTCGCGCGGTCTTTTTTGGAAGCTTCAATAATAAAATCGCTGGTTTTTTTCCCCCCAAAAAATTCTATCCTCGACTTTCCCGCGGACGTAAGAAAAGCCTGAGATTGAGTATTAATTTGGGAATCGAGACGTTCTGGCACAAGATAAGTCGGTGGACATGTGTGTTTGAAAAACGTACATCTTGCCTCGTAGAAAATGATTAGACTTTCGTAATAAATATATTGTCTTACGATCGCATTACTTCAATGTCCACTTCTGATTGTAATTTTTGTATTATCATTTTTATCGTGTCAATTACGTTAAGAATATTCATTACACGAATATCTTAATTTATTGTAGCAACGTCGTGTGCTTTTTTTTATTTTCTTATCTTCACGCAACGCTTTATTTAAATGTTGCAGCTTTAATCGCGCAACGCTGTACATTAAGCGAAGTTAGCACCGGTAATATATGGGGATGCAGAAAGCACCACACCCCTAAAGCCATTAAAGACGGCCATTCTTCGCGCAAATAATGGGGAACATTTCGATTTGCGTTATTATGAAGTTGTATCCTTGAGGATACGGGTTATCGGCGGAGTACCTTTATTGCGATCGCGGCTAGAGCTCCGCCGCGCGCTGGGGGAATCAATAACGGGATACAATGAGTCCTGAGAAATAATAAAAACGTATAACGCATTCTGGACGGATACTCGAGGCGGCCGCGCCCGCGGCCATTGCAAAATTAATTCCCATGCACCCCGCGTTTTCTACTATCGTCCACACCCACGCACATACACGTACGATTATCCTCCGTATTTCTCCACCCTTCCACCCTCCAGGATCGAAACAATTTTACGCCTATAATTCAGCCGTTAAATCATACTCCAGGTATCATACTTTTTCGACATGAAGGGATAATAATATTGAATAATTAGCACAGGCGCGCAGAGTGAACGATCGATCGTAGTTAAACTCATGACGATGTGTTACGCATGATAAAGGGATTTTTAGATTTATATGGAGTCCTCGAAACAGCGATAAAATACAATGCATTACGTCAGGAATACGGCGCGCAGAATACGCACAGCCGAATCTCGAGTGGCACGTGGTTTGTTTAACGATCGGATAGCGTATATTCTCGGCGCACTTATTGTTCCATAAAATTAACGCGGTGTCCCATCGCGTAACACAAGAAACGCACGCATGCGAGTAATGGCTTTGAAGAGTCCACGGGGCTCTCTCTCTCTTTCTCTCTCTCTCTCTCTCTCTCTACGGACCCCTTTTTCTCCGGGAACACGCCGCTTTATCGCGGTGATCTAAAATTACCAGAAATTATGCAGAGCGCGAGCCATCTGTACAACGGGGCCGCATTGTTTGCGTATAAAGACCGCGTGAGTGGAAATATTATTTTTAATCGTCGCGCACACATTGTCGTACGTAACACGCGCCGAACAATACCCGGGGAGGTAAAGGTCCCCCGTAGCGTTGCTATATGCTCGCAACGGCCAATATATTCCATCCGAATAAAACGTAAACACGAATTACGGCGCGATTGATTGATTTAACGGTGCTCTTTAATAGTAATTAATCGCTAATTTATCGCTTTCCAGTCGATTTGCGTAAATTATTCCACGCAATCGTATATTGTAAATACTACGGGACACGCAGCATGCAAACTGCGAGCCAAAAGAAATATTTAATGTCACCCAACATTTGTGGTTTGTAATCGCTATAATAGTAATGACAGCGATCGAGTAATAGATAATTTTTTGTTTGTGAAATGTTCGGGCGCGCCGGCACGCGCGACGCAGAAGAAGGCGCGGCGAAATGTAATTTTTGTTCAAAGAGTTGGTCGGATGAAATATTTGTAAACCAAAATATTTGAACAATTTATCAAAAATGTATTAACCGAGAGATTAAAGGCATGCTTTTGTCATGCTCGTTGCAGTATTTCATTATCTCATTTTGAAAATTATAATCTAAAAATTTGCTCGTGCATTCTTGTCGATCGTTTCATATTTCATTTGTTTAAATTTTGATAATTAGTATACACAAGCAAGCAAATTATGTGTGATATTTACGATTAGAGAAAATGCCTTGTTATTCCAAGGGTAAGTACCTACTGCAGGCGAGATGCGCGCGACAATGCGCGACGCGCGAGCTTGATATCATTTTATATCGCGTAATCATGGCATCGCGCCGCGCCGCGCGCGAACGCGCGTATCATCGGCATTCGGCGCGGACACGTGAATACGCGCTTGATTACCCATTTGCATTTTTGATTGTACGACTGTAAATCAATTTAAAGCCGTGCTTCCGTTCTCTCGCGCTGACAGCACTCACGCCGTAATTTAGCGCGCTCCATCGCATGCATTTCGTCGCGATTGTCCGAGGACGTTATCCTCAGTTAAATATCGATATTTAAGGTGAACGGCCTGTCTGCGCGCTAATAACGATATTCTGAAATATGTTTGATTCATTATCGAATGGCTATTGGATAATATCAATTGTTACGTGTAATACGACGAAATATAAATGACTGTTTTAATAAGCAAATACGTTCTCCATTAAGATTATCACGTTAGGTATATCTCTACGAATATAAATTGTATATTAAATATTATATGAACGTAATTACAGTTTTCATTAGCTATCTGAATAATAAATGTTTGGACATAGAACTTACACGGATACGAAACTTTTTATATGAAACTCAGGAATCATATAGAATTTTTAATATACTGACACTAGATATCAATGTATCTTGTCAATTGATGTTTTCGCATTAAAATACGGTCCAATCTTTTGACTGTAGTATTGCAAATTGCCTGGTAAAATGTGGCATAATAACACTGCGGGAAGAAAAGCAATATCGTTGCAGTATCAGCTGCTTTTATTTGCAACGGAATGCACTTTCGTATATCGTAAAATATATCTTGAACGTTTGGCCTTTCGTCTGAGACATTTCGGAATATTACATTAGCGGCGGTTAGAAGAGAATCTCATTGAAATGCCGAAGGGAACATAAACGTAGCAAGCGCCGCGACGTGCTTTCTCGCTATTAAAGCTGAAATAATATTTAAACAGTTCTTGTTCATGATACTTAATTACTCGGAATATTAAATGTAAAATATCGAAAGAGTATTATGAAAAAAGATTTTCATAATAATTAGATAAATAAAAAAATGATGTAGTGCAAAGTTTATGAATTATATTATTCGTTTATTTTCATTAGCGTTTGCATAAATGTCTATCTCACATTTCACATAAATCATCGAAAGCAGTTTTTGCTTAAAAATTTTTAAGCCATACTCGATACATCACAAAAAAGAAAAATAAGAATTTGTCGAGGGGCAATATCAATTCCCTATCCGCTTCTCTGTAGCAGATTTCACTGCTAAGCAGATGGAAAAGCGGACAAAGCGAGAAATAGACTCGCGTGCGTCGGTGCGATTGTGAATGTGTGGACTATCGGACTACGAAATTGAATGAAGAGACGAATCGACAAGAGAAAATAAAAGAAAGAGAAAGAGAGTAAAAGAGAGAGGAGGAGAGGATAAGAATAACGGTCGAGAAAAGCGCAAATATCAGGAAAAAGCACCCGATCGCGAAATGAAAAATTGAAGATGCGCGTCGACGGGGAAGACGATGACAGCGAAAATTCGCAGGGAAAATTCGAGAATGGTGTATCAGAGAATTGAAAGAGAGAACGTTGTCGAAGAATTGAAACGCCGGAAACACGAAGCGCCGGGGAAAAACGTGGAAGATTACAAAAGGGAGACAAAGTGTAAGAGAATAAAGTACACAGAGGTGAAAACGTGAGCGGTGCATTTAACGTTTACACGCGGCTGTTTGACTTTTAATCCTCGAACGCGATTTTTGTATTACACGAATAAAGTCGAGCTGGCCGGTCATATTTAGCGCTAAACGCGGAATGCGAATGCGACGTAAAGGATAAGTAACGCGACGGGCAGAGAGATGCGATGGAAAAAAAGCAGCGAAATTCGTGGATAAAAGCGGGGTGGAATGTAACGCGATGAAAGAATGGAAATCCACTTGACTGTGAATCTCTAGCAAAAAAAAGGGATAAAAACGCGAAGTAATAAAGCGAAACGGTCAGCAAAGCCGTCTATCTCAAACTCAACTCGTGCAAAGATTAATCGCGTAAAATTAAATTGTAGAAATTATTAGAAATCTTTTCTGGTGACGCTTCAAAACAGAAGAAGGCGTGGAGGAGGAGAGTGCATTGCACGAAATAAGTGAAAGAATTAGTGTAGAAGCAAACGACGGGAAGTAACGACGGAAGGAGAGTACAGTAAAAAGGAAGCGTGAGCAAAGGGAAGGCACAAAGTAACGGAGAAACGAGAGGGACGCGAAATGTTTTTATCTCATAAGAGTACACTGGACGCAACTTGCTGTACATCTTAATATGATCACGAAGCATAAAGCCGTATCAAAAGCCGTACGTGGAAAATTGGTTAGAGGTAATTGAATGGTTTTACGGGACCACGCGCTACGGTCGCTGTTTCGAGATGAGGTTTGCTATGGCTACTGTAACATGCCCTGTGGTAACAGTAGAAATTTATTTGTAACGCGACGCTTAATTATTATAGGACGAGTAATATGAGTTCAACGTAAGGGAGAACATCGACATTAATGGTAATATGTATTTTAATATTATACAAGCTATCTTGAAAATGAGATAATTATTTTACTGGGAAATGCAAAAAAACAGTGACCGTTTGAAAATATTTATACGTATCGCGTTGCAAAATCATTCGCTTTATTAAATTAATGAATAATTAACTTCTTGACTTTTATATATTGTACTTTGTTATTTTTAAATGTCTTTGCTTCTTTTTTCCATGCAATTAAGAGCGTAATTTAGAACATACATAACATATATCCTACATTTACGCGATACGCGCACTATGCCGGTCAAAGATCTTTCTGGTTTTGAATATAACTACCTTATATTCTTGGCACAAAAGTAAGCAATTGCATTAACATCCAGTACGGTAAGCAAGGTTAATTAGGCATTCTCTTTTCATCTGCAGTCTGGCAGTATGGCGGAAAGGGAATAGGAAACAACGGTGTCAATCCGACTAACTCAAGTAATCCCAAATTAATTATAACCCGTCTGGAAATCTCTCGGTTTCGAATAAGCGAATCAGCCTTATGACGCATCAACGTCTATGCCACGCTAATTAACTAAATTTATATTCTTACATTTCTGATATTTAACTAAATATTCTCCCTGCATTTACACAATATATATATATATATATATATATATATATATAAAATAAAATCCTGTAGTTAAAAAACAGATCTCGCGCACTTTTATTTTTACGCTGGTATCGATAAATGGCATTACCGTGTATTCAAAATACCATCGCGTATCACATGCGTCAGTGCGACCGTTCCAAGCCGCTCGAAACCAAACTATATTCGATTAAAAACTTTTTAGCTTTGTATAACTTCTCCCACGAGAGCTATCGATAGCAACATAACTAGCGAGGAGGGGTTTAATTAACACGGAGATCAGGTCGGGCAGTCGAATTGGAAATTACTGGCGCGGAGTCGCGGGTAAGGTTAATCCCCGGAAAGCCCTCGGCTCACCCCGCGAGCCGGAGTTGGGGGAGGAGGGGTGAGATAGGGAGAAGGGGATGAGATAAAACGAGGCGACTCTCCGCACGAATCGAGACGCTCCGAATTTATAGGTTGTAGCTTTCGAATGTACCGGAGGCGGCTGCCTGCACCTAATTCGTATAACCTGAACGGCAAAGGCGCGGCTTTAAATATGCAACGGAGTCCGTCACCGCATGTTCCTTCGGAAATGCGGATACGGCGCGCGTACGTGCTGATACTTTGGACGAACTCATCGAGGAGCGCGAATGTTCGCCGCGAGTTGAAGATTTATGACCCCGATGATCTATGTGCGGTAGCATCAGGCTGATTGATAGAAGAGAATCGGCGTTTTATTTTATTTCTGCTTGTCGGACAGACGTGGTACTTAAACTGGGAGAACGTGCTCCGCGAGATTTTCTCTCGTGCAAATGTCTAAGAAGGTACTGCCAAACGGAATGCATTTTATAATTTACGTTCCAAGCGGAGGATGTATATTGAATTTAATATACTTATTTATTTTCAAGGGAGGGCATGATAAATATTTGAAATATTATTACACATATATATAATATTTGTATGTTGTAATTTACATAATATTGGGCAGAAATTTATTGGGCCTTAATTTCTGCTAAAAATAAAGCGACATTTACTAATGATCTATACGTTGTCATGTTCGCTTTTTTGAAGCGATTAAATCTTATGATTGACAGCTGGCTCACCGAAAGTAAAAATTTTAGCCGGGTAGACCGCAAAGCTTTACCGTGGTTTGAAATGCGAGGCTTTCAGTGGTGAAGAGATTCGCGTGATGTGCACGCGCCGTCGTACGCGCGTCACGCGCGTTCAAAAATATTGGGCGTACGGTAAAAGTGCAGCCCGACCTAAATACCAGGTAGAACCGAAATTTCCGGATTAAATTTTTCGCCGGCGGATTGAGGTTTCGCGTTCGCAATTATTGAAGAACGGCATACTTAGTTTTTGCCGCTACGTGCATTACCGACGAGAGAGAACGAGAGAGAAAGAGAGAAATTTTAGGTCGCGTGAAAGAATAACGTTCCTGGCTCTCCGAAAATGCGGGATCTCTCTGATTATTATCCGTTTAATTCAAAGTGTTACAGAATATTGTAGGACATTATAGCGTGAGAGAGCAGTATTTAACAGTTCTGCATATTAGATTGTCAGACAGATACGCATGTAAAATTCCATATGGAAAATATAGTATAATGTATAATAAAAAATCTGAGATATGAGTATACATATACACACATGGAAAGAATAATTTTGCTGGATCCAGATTTGAAAATAATTTTTGTTCAATAACCAAAATAATTTTATGCGAAAGTCAAAATGATTGCTAGAATATCAAAACGTTTTACAGCAATGCTTATCAATTTTAACGTTCCAACAAATTATTTTGATGATTCAACAAAAAATTATTTTCAGATCTGTATTCAGCAAAATTTTTAGACCTTTCAACAAAATCATTCTTTCCGTGCATATATGATATATATAAATATAAAATACATACAGTCTGAGATATATAGTTATCGTTATTAACTGAGATTAATTACGATAGCTTAGAGCAACGCGCAAATGGCCTCCTGTCCTGAATATATTCGTATACGTATATTAATAATCTCGTAGACACTCAACGATGGAATTGTTTTTTTTGTTTCCGCAGGTCAGTATGAGCAGGAAAGAGTTCTTAGCGACAAACGAAACGAGAAGCTAAGAACGCATGCCTAAATTAGCTTGGGAAGCGGATAACTTGCTGGTAAGCGGCTAACGGGTCACTTCTAGGGGATAATAGGTAAGTTCAGGACGTAAGCGCCTCGAGTATCTGCACTGCGGAGAGTGGAGATCTCGGGAGTAGGATTTAAATATCATTTGAAACGTTGGGAGAGTATAACCATCATTCTAATGAGAAACCTTCCGTGCCAGTTGCGACAGCTTAAAAATCTCGCGCGCGCCCGACTAATTAGTTATCGACCGGCAAATCGCGCTCCCAACGCTCGTCAATGAGAGGCTGCTTCGTTGGCTCGAAAAACGAGACGTCCGCGTCGTTATCAAGCTCGCGCGCGCTATGGAATGTAATTTCAAGAGTTTAATAAAGCGAGAGAGAGAGAGAGAGAGGGAGGGAAAAGCGCACTCGGGACACACGCTCGCAATTTGCGAGTTCGCATAATCGATGTATCGCCGCTGGTCATATTGGAGGGATCTTGCTGCAGCGTGTGCGTTATCGCGAAGCCGTTTACTCGCTCGCTCGCTTGCTCGTTACAGACGTATTAATGGTATATTCATGCATTACAGAGTATTCTAATATAGTCTCGAACTAGCGGCATCATGATGCCCTATCTATTTCAGATTGCGATGCATCGCGAAATTACGCGATAGAGTAGCGCAAAAAGGCGGTATCTTTAATCAACTGTTAATTTAAATTAAATATCTAAGAATCCGCGCAATTGAAATTAGCACTGCGGCGATAACGAACTGTGCAAATAACCAATGCAACTCGTTTGCGCGCAACGTTGGCGTAATGAATGAATTGTATAATCGCGCCGCGCCGGGGACGCGCTTTCGGGGGGTATCGACGATAATCGCGTTTTACTCCAGCCACCCCCGATATTTCGTGGGTCACCCGGTTTTAACGGCGGGCATGCACGCGCACATAAACGCTGTACAAGCACCTCATCGCATTTCGACACACACGCCGGGGTGAGTTTTGCCTGTGGTGGGCCGTCTCGCGCGCGCACATTCACAATAAGAGAGAGAGGGAGAGAAAGAGGGGGGAGGGGGACACAGATACGCACGCAACTTGTAAATGCATCCCTCACCGATGAGGAGAGGGATGAAAGCGACGCTCGCGGAGTCGACGATAAAGAGCGCACCGAAGGGTTGGAAAAGGGAGCTAACTTCGCAGACAGTTTAAACCCCACGCCACGCTGCGCCGGTCGGAAATCCGCCCACTCCATACGGCCCGCGAATCCGAGCGGTATACTACTTGACCGTTCAAGTGGGGTCTGAATAGCGAATATCTTCGATATTCGCGTGGAAAGTTTCGGCCGCGTGCTCTAACGAGCCCACGTGTTATGCATTACATTGGCGGGTATGAAATTAACGCTACGAATGCTGCGACGAGGACCCTTGATAAGGCAGAGATATGTACTTTTAAATGAACTCTGAAACAAAATGATAGTGTAACGTATCATTTTCGAGGCATTAATAGGTATGTGCAGTAAAAAAATGTAAATTCTTCGTTATTAATAGGAAATGGAACTCTTACTTTAAGTTGCATGCGTAAATATGAACTTGCGATTCAAAAGTTACGCCTTTAAATATATCTTACATTTTTGTATAGGTATTGTAGAAATGGTATTCTATCGCTAAAAGTAGTTAATAATTGCTTGATAACGTTTCATACATTTTCTTTACTAAATTTTCTCTCTCATCAAAGAAATGTTCTGAAGTTCTTTTCCCATTCGTTTATATTTATTCTTCAGATACTCTATTTATAATTCACTTATTACAAAGCTAAATAAATTGGCCGAATGATTCATTGATTGAGTGGATAATGTGAAGACTGAAATATGCTGTCCACATTTAATATGCTCGCATAATTAATGGTTATACCAGCCAAATGAAATTTTGTTCAAGTATCGATGAGTCCAATAATACCATGAGAGTACAGTGAAATAGAGATTTTAGTGGCTTTCGATTCAACTCATACTCCTCGATCTCTTCGCCGCCGCTGGGAAAATATGATTTATCAGTTTTCCTCGATATACATCGTATGATGAGACTGTTGTTTGTGTATCTTCTCGACTATATTTGGATTTTCTTTAATGAAAATCCGATTGGCAGGAGAAATCTTCTTATATAAGGCTTTCTCTTAACACGCTTTCGTATAACGTCGTATTCTAGCGTAGTTAAAAATAAGCGTATTTTCGATTTTGTTTATTCATCTCTATTTACGTTTATTGTTACCTCTGGGAAATATTTGTGTGAAAATGTTTCGACAGTCCCGAGACAGTCCCGTGCAAAAGTTCATTATCGCGCTCGGTCGCGCGTTCGCGACAATATTGAAATTCGTAAAAATTATGATGTCCACGGATTATCGCGGATGACAGCGTGCTGATCGACGAATTGCCGGTAAATTGAGTTCGGTCGACACGTTTTCGGGCCGCAATATTATTACAGTAGTATGAACTGACTGGTTTTATTGTCCGCATTAACTCTGCAGCGGATTTCCGGCCGACGAAGGCAGCACCGAGTGAACGAAATAATTACCGGTATCACGCATATTTACAGCGCGCGTAAGGGACCGAATATGGGGTTTTAACCGAAATGCGATTTTGCGCCGCGTATTTTCATCAATTTCGCGCGCATTCGAGCTGCTCGGCGGTGTGTAATAGCGTGATTGAATATCTATCGATTTATCATGTAACAAAGTGGTCCCTCATGAGTTTTCAGAAAAAAGCAGTCCGGGAATTAAATAGCGAATTGTCCGTTTGCTTATTGCATGTTTATAAACGGCTCTTACTTTGAGGATGATTTATAAAAATATGAAGGATGAAAAGGTTCTGTAAAATACATTTAATTGAAATGAATGAATATATCTCGTTCGAAAACAACCCACATGGATACGTGTTCGTCATGTCGCAAATAATGTAAAACGTATAACAGATATTAACGTCGATAATGAACGCGCGATTACAACGGACACCGCTAAATTACGCTAAATTTCTTGCGGTAGTGATCGCTGTCAACGTTTTAATATTAGCCGTATATTTTCGGCCGTACAACGTGATCACGGGATTATTGTCAAAATTAAATTCCGGACGGACAATACAATATCAGTAACATTCTCACTTTTCCATTGGCGATCGCGCGGTATTATTGCCCGGAATGAAATTTCGGGCGATAATGTAATATCGGTAATACTCTCGCACTTTTCCGTCATGCGCGACCGCAGATTATTATTCGAAATTAAATTTCGCCGAGTCGCCGCGCAGTCGTCGCGCGATACGTGCGGCCGTCGATCGCAATCGTACATCTCGATATAATATTGCAGGTCCGATTGATCGCGCGAACGAACGCATCGATATGCGCTCCGGTTCGGTCCCATAAATTCCCCTCTCCCAGCGCTTATCGATTAATCGGCAGAGTAAAAAGCGTTGGCACAGTGCGTACTGCGGGCAGAGCGGTCTACTTTTACATTATTTTCTCGTTACTGAAATCAAAGCGTGCCATTCGAAACGCTCGATTTCCATTTGAATCATGCCTCAATTCGTGTCGTAACTCTTATAAGTACTTACAATAAAATACGCTTAATACGCCGTAATGCATCTTATCAAATCGCAACTGCGATATTTTAGATGCGAAGAAGAAGAAAAGGAAGATAAAAAAAACAGAAAGAATGTTTACTTTAATATATAAATTATAATGACGATGTGTACGTATTGTAATGTGTAATTGAATTTAATATTGAAAAGCTTATAATTTATATAATAATAATACATAATTTATAAGATATTGAATTTTTCAGCATTAAATTCAATAATAAATTTACACATGCACACACACACACATCGTCTCTTTAATATATAAGATATTAAAGTTTTTGTACAATTCAGTTTTTGGATTAAAGTCAATAGAATATATTTATCATGATGCATCTTGCGAAAACGCAATTGTGATTTAGACAAAGATGCAAAGAGGAAGAGTGAGAAACAAAAAGAAAAAGAGTAATAACTTTTTTATTTTAATATGTGAATTATAATGATGTATATGTTCATTTATTTAGTCGTATTAAATGAGTAAGACACTACACTAGAATTTCCGTGTGTCCATAGAGAAAGTTTTATATACAACTGCATTAAATTACTCAACTTTGCAGCAAGTGCAGTAGAATATAAAAGTAGATAGGATTATATTTCGAATGTATGATTATAAAAGTACGTACCGATCTCATGTTAGAGTCAAACGAGTTACGACGGAGTCTCTCCCCCGTAAGTTCACGCGCGCGCCGATGATGGTCCTACGGGAAACTCCGCCGTCCTATAATTGAAGTTCGCCGACATGTACGGCAGCTAACGAGCACGTGGTTGCACCTTCCGGTCGTTCCTATCGTGTGACCCTTTCCGAACGCGTCGGCGATAACGACAAATACAAAACCCTAACAGGTGCTATATCGATGACGTCGCCGCTCCTCCGGCGCATTGTCCTCGGACACCGCAACCTTTTGACTTCGACGGACCTATGCTCTCGAGCATGACCGAAGATAACCCTTTCATCTGAATACGTCTGAATACGCTCTGCGGACTTTTGTGCGGAGCCAGGTGTCCGACAACGTCACACTCGGACAGAGAAACCTTTGCGTTCGTGCAAAAACACGAGTCCTCCGAAAAATGTTTTCCATGTTTTTTCTTTGTAACTAAATTTGTTGATTTAAAAAAGGGATCTACTGTTAATTCGGAAAAACTTCTCTAATAATGTTGTAACGCTTAAAATAAATACAATTATAGAACACGTTTTTGCACATTTTTGCACGATAATTACAATATTAAAATTAAGCTTGTAGCAAAATAACTGCGAATAATAATTTGCATGTCGATATTGATTTAGTATTTTTATTCTTTGAATTTCGCAGTGGATCGACTGTAAAGTGGTTAGATCACGACTCGATTTCGGATTTTCATCTGATTAATACCATTGCGATAACTGCAGTAATGTAGTGATTATATCGCGACCGTAATTTCGATATTTGCACGGGCCATCCACGACTTCCAAAAGCATGCGTGTGCGGGTGTG